TCTAGATACTGCTAGGGCTGATCTATCAAAAATATTAGGGTTCTCAGTAGATCCAATGGAAATCCTTGTAAGTCGAGCAAACACCTCTTCTAAGGAAGGGAGAGCTGACCCTCCTAGTATCTGAGCACGCACTGGTTCATATTCAGATTTCAGCCCCACCAAAAACTGAGTGACATTAAGTTGTTCTCTCTGTTGTTGCTGAATTTTGACATCATAAGTGAGGGGGTGATAAACATTCAATTCATTAAGAATGTTTCTCATACTAAAATAGTACTCCTCAAGACTCTAATTACCCTGTTGTAAATTAAAGTATTCCTGGTACAACTGATATACTCTGTGTTGTCTTGACCAGAATATAGTTTCTTAGCATGGTCCCACACTTCTTTGGCAGTATCAAGGAACATGAAATTTATACTAATCTTGGGTTCCATACTATTCCATAACCATGTGATGATCTGTGCATCTGCCTGCTCCCAATCATCATACTCAGGAGAATCGACGAAAGGTTTTTGATCCCTTATGTGCTTCACCTTTTTCTTTGCCTTAAGAAAGACTTCTACAAATTTGGCCCAAGGTACATAATTTTCTCCATTCAGCTTAATGGAGGTCATTTGAACATTCAGGTAGTTAGTAGGGACCATCACACTAATCTTGCTATCATTGTTGTCTCCCATTGCTGAATTTGGCAAACTGCACACTAGGTCACACTACACCCTGATTTCAGCACTTACTACTGCTGTGAATTGCACACTTTAACCACAAACCCAACTCCACGACTGCCTGAAACTTCCCAACACTGTTTGAGGAACCCCCCCCCCTTCGAATCACACTGAAGGGTGCACAAACCCTAGCACTCTACAATCTGAAATCCCACCATACAGTCTGAAATAGACTTCTCATTTGATTCACACAAAAAAAATGCATAAAACCTCTTACCTGATCACTGAGAATCAGACCACACAAGACACCCACTGCACCACACGAATCAGCCCTCTTCTCTTCATTGATTAGGGGAGGGCTTCTTTGAAACTGCAGCAACTGACCACAAACACCACAACTGGAGGCATAGAAAGCTCCAAGGGAAGAGGGCAATCACTCCTTTTCAGCCCTGTCCCTTATTTCTAGCTGATGGCAAAGAAAATAAGAGAAAACCCTAGGCTGGGTGCACAGATAACAGAATTCTGGGCAGATCCAATTTGCTCAGTTTAGCTCTGATACCATGTTAGTGTTCGGTCTGCCTGTTAGACTGATAACAGTCAAGGAAGAGAGAGAAGAGAGGAGAGAGAGAGAAAGAGAAACAAGGAGAAAAGATTCTGGTTCGAATGAGAGAAAAAAAGTTCACTCTCCCATTCAGCCAGATGTATTTTATATTCATAAAATAATGTGGAAAAATCACATATGCCCCTACTTAAGTTAGGGACATTAATCTAACAAAAACTTACACATCAGCACCTAAACACAAGCACAAAGACAGAACTACCCCTACATACTCGACACTAACACACACAATCTCCAGCACGAAAGGGCTATAGTAGCTTGTATCTAATTTTGAACATTGACACTCCCCCAGATCTAGATGTTTGTCCCTATATGTGTGTAAACTTTGGGATCCTCAGACGATTTTATCTTCATGTATGATCTCTTTAATAAATATGACAAGCATGATCTAAAAGAATTTCCTCTTGTGATCCATCATAAATATTATTATTATCATGATATTGACAAAAGGTAATCTGTGCCAACACTAGATTTTTCTCCAGCAATATGGTTTAGGTGTTACCAATGAGATCTAGGACCCTGCCAACTGCATCATGTCGAAATGGGAAATACTCGTAATTCACTTCCAAGGTTTCCCCCAGTTCAAGGTTGCTTAGATAAAGGAAACTATTTCTTATTGGATTTTGACTTAATATGACCACCCAACTAGCCATGCATAAGGTAATGCACTAGTCTTTAACAATAGAATGGAAGCCACTAAGCACCGCCACCCACCTTGTATCAAGAAGGCCATTGCCCAATGCCAGTCCCAACCATCAAGGGTCTTGAGAGTCCATCCTGGGATAGAAAATGCTTCGTTTATTGTACACTACACTTTATGCTTGAAGAATAGCCATTATGGCTTTTCCCATGCCCATCCTTGTTGGGGAAATGGAAATTGTACTACTCTTATCCTTCATGTAAGGGGAGAGAGAGAAGGGGACCATTACTAGGAATAATGGTAAAATACTAGGCTGACAAACATGAGAGGTGACTGGTAAGAATGCAAATCCAAGTTAAAGAGAAGCCATTTTGTGCCCAAAAAAAAATTACCAAAAGAGGTTAGGTCTGCATCCAGTCCAACCCTCCCAAGACCCTAGATAGCTTGGACCAACATTGGGTAATGGCCATTTTTAAAAAAGAGGGGGAGGGAGGGAGAGAATTATGCAGCATTCATTTCTTTTTCTTTTTACTTTTCTTTTAATTTAACAACAGTGCAACATGTATGAGATTATGCTATAAGAAAAGTAGTAAGATGTACAAGATAGGCATTAAGAGTAAAGCCACTCCCAAGCTGCATAAACTGTACGTCCATGTAAAATATTACCAAAATGGAGGAATGATCTGCTATAGATTTTCACACCTAAAACCCCATATTCGCCAGGCAATTAGGCTTCTAGGGATGATCATGGGCTGGGTCAAGTTTTTACTGGATATTAAAAGCCCTTAAGGTATAGGTGTGTGTGTGTGTGTGTATATATATATGGCATTAAATAAAACAGAATGGCACATGATTCCTGTAACCAACCCCATATAGTTGGGATAAGGCTTAGATAATGATGACAATATATATATATATAGAACTTCCAGACCTAGAACATGAACATGCTTGGTCCAGGCCCAGCCTGAATTACGTGCTTGTTTGATGTGGGTCCGGAATGGGCCAGGCTGGTCAATGAACTCAATGCAGGCCCAAAATAATCAACCTTAAAGGCTCCCCAGCATCCATCTTGGAGATATGGTTTGAGAGAAAGTAAGTCAAACCTACCTCAGTAAACAGAACAACTCCTGTGAATACCTCCTAATCTGCATGACCAACTACTCATCCTTAGCAAGCAAGGTGCCAACCAGCGGGTTGGTAAGGTCTCCTGTTGGTCGTAGCGGAGACTAGGTATCAATCCCACCTGCACCTAGGTTAGGGGAGGGACTACCCCCCCCGGTTGTATAGCCCTTCAAAAAAAAAAAAAAAAAAAAAAAAAACCATAGAATCCACCACTATACTCTTCCTCTTCCTTACACTCACTAAGAACCCCAATTTTACCAATCTAAGCAACTTCTTACCCAGTTTTTCCTAGTAGACGTTCAAGACTGCTATCAGCCTTGAACCCTAATAGATTTCAGGTCCGAAAATAGAAGAAAAAGTATAGAGAAGAGAGGAGAAAGAGAAGAGAGAGCAGTAGAACACAAGGGTTGAAAGGAGGGGCAGAATCTTAATGTTCTGTCGCCGCCACTTTTATTTAGTATTTATAGGTTATGCTCATTACATGGAAAGGACAGATCTGCCCTTAGTATTTACATAACAAATAGAACAAAATAAAACTGAAATAAATAACAACTGAAATAACCRACTGACCACYARMTAACCCTAGGATGAYTAGAACACATTCTACCCTACGAACACAGTGGGACCATAGCTGTGGGGCCCACATCAGTGTTCTCTACATAGTGGACCACTGATATAACAAAAAAAACACCCTAGACAAGTTTGCACTGACTCCAGACCTAGTCCACCAATGCTTAGACATAAGGGTGCAAGTCAGATACCCAATCTGAAGAATTTACAATAAATTGGGGCTGGGCCCCTTCAAATCTTAACAAGTGCTCAACCCAAACCTGCCCAAGTTGTCAAGCTGAGTTCGAGTTTGCACTCTTATAAGACCAAAATCTTGTTCCAGTTGTTGTTGAGCTTAAAACTCATGATCCATTTGATCATTTTTTCTAATATCTGGTATTATTCTTCATCCTATGCATAACAAACTGAACTCCATATACATCTTTAAGTATATAAAAACTTCTCATGAAAATGATTGCATACTAATGCTCCCTTGATCTATCTTAGATGTCAGAACCCCAGTGAGAAAAAGCCCTTATTTTAAGCACTGAACCTGTTCCAAACAAATAACAAACCATTTTAAGGACACCAACCATAAATTGAATTTGACCCGCTTCATTCATTTTTACCTGAGCATCCTGATCAAGCTATCAAAACATTGCACACTTCACAGCATTCACATTCTCCAGATTGTTCCTCCTCAACCATACCATTGATCTTATCTTGCTTGTACCCCTCCAATGACTCAATATCTTTCCACCATAAGCGAGCAGCCCATGGAATCATTACAATGATAATTCTCAGTCTGTTGCTGCCTAGCTAACTGGGTGAGGCACCAAAGAAATTCCAATTGATCGAATACATTCTTTTTTTCTTATTTTTTACTCCAATGCTTTGTTTGTATATTTTCCCTTGTTTATAGATCTCTAAATATTACTCACTAAGTTAACAAAGATAAATTAGTAAATAAAGATCTCGTGTGGTTTATCATATCTTGTCGACACAAGTAAGCAGCCCATGGTGCAAGTGCCAACTCGCAGTTTGCTGGCTATCTAGCTAACCTGGTCAGGCAGCAAAGAAGTTCCAACCGATTGAATACAATCTTTTCTCTCTCATTTTTTATTCTAATATTGCCTTTGCACACCTTCCCTCGTTTATAGGCCGTTAATAGAAGCTAGATAGTTCAGTAATTTTTATATGCGTTGTTAAGTAAATTAAGAAAAATAATAAAAATAGTATTTTTCCAATTCAAACTCGAGATAGGTGAAAGATAAGATCTTCAATGATACATGGACGATAAAGTTCATATGAAGGCCAAAAAAATCAAAACATAATATTCCCACTGCTTCAAAATCCATAGTGAACTCTATTTATGATGAACAACATATGAAATGGATCAGGATATACCCACCAATGAGCGAAGAATTCAACGACGGCGAACGAAGCCGGAGAGTCCCTGAGAACTTTATCGAAATTAGTGATATTCAAATCTACTGCGGCATCGGGAGGATCAGGATCACCAAGAGAGCGAAGAATCGACCGAGATCCGATAGAAATAGATGATACTCCGAAGCTGAAATAAAGTAGAAGCAAAAGCAAAAGAATTGAAGACATAGTAAAAATCCGGTCGATAATAGACTGGTACACGAAGAAGCTTTGCTAGTGGCTTAGAGGAAAACTTTTGATCGAATTAGGGTTTTGAGTAACGCCGTTGACGGAAGAGAACTGAAGAATCAAATATAAGCTTCTACGGAATTTTTAGCCTGATTTCTTTTAGGTCGAAAGACTGACAAACGCCTGCGTAGGTTTTGAAGGTTGAAGGTTGAAACTTCAAAGGGGGATCCGTTGTTTTCCATGAGTAATAATCACCCGGGAAAATTAAAAAATAAAATATAAAATATATAAAATATAAAATAACCAACAGCAAGAAGTGCGTATTACGCATCCCTTCTGCATTCTTTATAAAATCTAGTGAAAATCTGTTGAGGACTTGAGGTCGTCTCAGCATATGAACCGTCCAAATGTGCCTTGTGATTGTTGGTACGAGTCATATCAGTCCTGAGTAAGCTTTAAACGGATCTGATAGTCAGGATCAGGCATATGTAATGGTCCTCGAAACAACTTAGCACAACTGATGGATGGGCCACTTTCACCCAAAGTCCAACTACTTTTTATTCCCCTCTGAAGCAGTTGCGAGTTGATGGCCCACCAATAAGTGATGTGAGACCGGATCGAGGCCTTTGAGTCTTCATGGCCTACAGACGGCCCATCACACCAACCAGCACAGCAGGGTTATAGTGTCAATCAAACCTGCATGACTTCACCGAAGTCCTGATTTCCATGGTTTTCAAAACCGGACCGGACCGGACGGTCGGACCGGAAAACCGGGAATCAGTCATTTCTGTTTTCCTTTAAAACCATTGATTTTGGTCAATAAACCGCTGAACTGATTGATTAACCGTTTGAATGGTTTTGACCGTTTTCTAATTTTTTTATTTTTTTATTTTTTGTCTGAATGGACTAGTCATTCGGGTTAAACGGTTGGACCGTTCAAACTAATAATCAGACCCCTAACCGGTTCAATCACTAGTTCATTTTTAAAAACCATGCTGATTTCTGCCCAGTTATCTGAATCTGATTAATTGACAGAACTGATCCAAGCAGATTGGTACATCTTATGGGCTAGCCCATAGGCATGACTTTCCTCTGATGTTTTGGGGCAGTGGTTACTGGTAACCTGTGTTTTAAAACCCGATTTGGAGGCTGATTCATTTTTTCCAGTAGATCAGCTGTCCGGGTCGAATGGATAAACCTGTAATATTATAAATTATATATAATGTCGATATTTGCCTTGGCTTTATGTTTAGGTCATAAAGTTAAATAATAATATTTTAATACATTATATAACGCTAATGTTTGTTAATAGTAGTTTAAATATTTTGATCTTTAAGTCTAATTAGTAAATTAACACTATTGTTTTATCATATTTGACTAAGTGTAATAAAAGAATCTTTCAAATTTGAAGGTTATATTTGATTCGTTGCTCTAAATTTCATTTTTTTAATTCTTATTTATTTTGAATAAGAATGGACAAAAATAAATAACATTAAAACGTTTGGTTACAAAATTTTGTCATGGGCCTCATTATTTTCATAACGAAAAAATCATCCTATAGCACAAAATTTGATATAGCTTGCAACATGAAAAATAATCAGCCCCGTCTTGTTAATTTTTTTTTCTTTAAAGGAACTCTATTCTAGTGGTCATAAACTACTGGCCTAAGTCTACAAACCCACCACCATGAATGTTTATTGGCGGACTGCTGTGGAAACTTATGCCGGGCATTGACCGCTGGACATTCTATGTCAATGATTTTGGAGACTTAGACCGGAGGTTTATGACTAATGCAGTTTTTTTTAAGAGTAAAAATGAAACAATATAGGACAATTATCAATTTGAAAATAATTCATTTTTTAGGAAAAAGGTATTTGACTCATTGCAATATTTTCTCATTCCACACATTCTTATCCATTTTAGAATTTTATCTTAAATAGAAATGAAAAAAGATGAGACTTGAGCCAAACATGGCCTAAATATCCTTTCATCTTTTTACTCGTTCATTTTTTTATTTGCAGACATACATGGTGCATGCTCTTTTTGTGATTATGGGAAGGATCATAAGGGTTATAGGAGCTAATCATAAATGAGATATTTGAACCTGGTGGACAACATGTTGAAGTATCATGAATGATAGTCCTTGGCACTCCCTTTCAAGCTAAGTGTTAGTTTGATCTTTGCTTGCTTAAAAAAATGCAAACTAACCAGAACAAGAAAGGATTTTAGTGTCAGAACCACTTAATCATATATATAATTTGGAGAACAATCATAAAACCCTTGATTGTCTGTTCCCAAACAAAAAGAAAATCGATTTTAATATGTTGGATGTGAATATGGAAAATGGGTATAACTAATTGCAGCCAAATTACTTTACATGATATCATTATTGGGTAACGACTTTTATGTTCCAACCGTAAATTTCTTAAACTAGTCTTACTACTTGCCAAATTGACTAAGTATAGTCTTATTGTTTCACTATTGTCTAGTCATATTTCTACTGTTGCTGATAATTGATGAACTCTACCTCTATCACATCTATGCACATGTGACCTCACGTATCTTATAAAATTTTTTCGAAACCCAATATTACCCTCCTCCCCTTCGTCTCAACACAGGCATCCTTAGAAAAACCTGCTCCAGCAGCACCCGTTGAACATTGATCTCACTGTCGGAAAACCCAAAGGCACGTTGAATTTCTGGTATAAAATCAGCAATTTGGGTGTTAGATCCAAATCATCGCTTGAGGTGAGCTGTGGGTTGAAGAAGAAGAAAAAAAAAGGGGAACGACCGCTCTTATTCAGGGATGTGACGATTCTGTCAGTTGAGGTTTAACAGCATATTGGGCAGATTCAGCAACGATTTCATCCTAGGGAACGGCCGTTGCAAAGCCATGCGCATAGACGGCACCAAGTGCCTCTGCCACTTCTGTGGTTGGAACCGGCGTGCTCGATCTCCTCTCTTCCCCGTACCTAAAACACCACCACCTGGATTATGTCTCGAATGTGTGAGGCGATACACCTTGACTTGAATGTCAGCAGGGCCGGTCCAGTCGCCAAAGTTCTTCTTCTTCGATCCTTGTCGATGACGTTTCAAGTCATCCTCTACCTCTGTTTCCCGGTTACAGAAGAGAACCAGTCCAGCTAGGGGAGAGAGTAAGCAAAGGGAGTGATATAGAGGAAATAAGAGGGAAGAGAATGAGGAAGAGGGGAGAGAGCGATGGTTCGCTGATACGGTAAGTCGCAGTGGCAGCGGTGGACTTTCAGAACGAGTGAGCAAAACAGAGGAGTAGGAAAGATGGAAAAAGCACAATACAATTAACTTTTCCCCAACCATCTCAGATGATTCAAAAAATGATCCTGATGTACTTCTTTTTTACCAAAATGGCTCAGCTGATTCTGTGGTTCAAACAAAAAAAATGCGAGTTTTTAAATCTTTCCAGAAGCGCTTCCGTTAGTCTTTTCTGATCTTCCATTCTGAGAAGAGATTCACTTGCAGAAATATCCCCATGTAGATCAACTTTCTGTATAGTTAGCAGGGTGTCACCATTTTGTTCTATATTTCGACTATCAGGACTTGCTTCTCCTTGTTCAGTGATGGAACTGGATTTAGTTCCCATACTACTGACAATGGCAGACATTTATTTAGGCTAGTTATGTAAGGTGGCGCGCTGCCTGTCTCTTTCATTGGCTAGTGCACGCAAAGAGCGCATTATCGTGCTAAGATGGGCTGGTTGGGAATCCGTCTGAATCATCTTCTCTCATAGGGAACTGACTGGTTGTGCCAGTCAAAATTTCCCCGCCGTTCTTTCTCTAAGATTTTAAGGCCCTTCGCTTCGCCGAGCTGACCACCCCTCGYTTGTTCATAGCCGCTCCAGGTCGGTGGAGTGTTAACTATTTTGTTCTTGGGCTGCCAACGTTGATTTTTACAGAAATCATGGTCGCCGACGTAGTTCTAGGAACCGATCATTGTTTTCCATCGGGAAAATCCCAGAAAAAAGGTACCCTGTTTCACTACTATGGTCGCTGTGTCGAACGACAACTATAGAAAAAACGGGTTAAGAAGACAATGAATCCGGGTCAGATTCTAGAAATTTTGTGCAGTAAGATGCTCCCCATTTGGTTGCCAATGGTTGGTGATTATTAAAGTGAAGGGAGTAAGATGCTCCCTTGTTTTGGAGAAAAAGGGCGGTTTTGACTGCGAAAAATCAGGTTCCTTGCCGGAACAGTGTCGGAGGTTAATGTTTATAGACAAACCGACGCATTTGGTCACCAATGGCCAATGGTTTTTAAAGAACAAAGAGTCTAGGAGTGGGATGATCCTTTGTTTCAGAAAACACATTAAGTCCAAAACAAACGACGAGTTTTAGTGAACGCCCCTAGGCGTTTCATCGGAAAATGGCTGTTTCACCATCTTACGGTGGCGAAACACACAGTTTACGGGAAAAAGAGATCAGGCATCATCATCGAAATTGATCATCAGTTGGATTTTATTTTGAAATTTGATGAATAGTGAAGAACAAATTCGATATTTTATTTATGTTATCACTTACGGGTAAGGTCAAATTTTAGAAACAGTAAGGTAGCAAACAGTAAGAATAGTTTAAGAAATTTTTCTCAAAAAAACATCACTTAACTTTACTTAAACACTATAGGGGTAGTTTAAGAATTTTTTTATCAAAAAATTCTACTGCAAGTTAAGAGGAATGCTAAACATCTATCTTGAATGTTTTTGGATTTAATTGGTTTCATTTATAATTGGATCGAAAATGAACTGACCTGATTTGGTCGCATTGATTGATATTTCAATCTAAACGAACCCAAAGTGAAAACTGAAAATTGGGTTGGCATTTTTCAAACCCGACCTGACCTGACACAATCTAGGGGTGAGCAAGAAAAACCAAATTCATCCGACAAGACTGAATCGAAAATTCCAGTTAAGAAAATTGGTTGATTCAGTATTTTAAAATATCAAAGGTACCAATTCTGATTCAATTAACTAATATAAAAAACTGACAGTTAATCGAATAGACTAGTATACATATATTTTATATATGTATACTAGTCTATTTATATTTTATATGTATCATATATTTTATATTATTTATATATTATAAATTAATAAATATGTAATATATATAAATATATATTTGTAATATATAATATATTATTATTTACAATATAATATTTTATATGTATTTTTAGTTTTTATTATATATTTATATAATTTTTTATAATATATATTATAAATATAAAAGCAAAAAATCTATGAACCGAACCAACAATTAACCAAACCAATCAATTGGTTAACCGATCGACTTTGATTCGATTTCGGTTACCGATTCTCCTAAAATCGAAAGTTTCAAAAATAAGCGCTTGGTTCGATTAACCGAACCGTGAGCAGCTGGGCTAAGGCAGCCCAAGTTCATTTTGCTGAAGCAATAGCCCAGCCCAACCCGTTGCACATACGTGCTGCAATATCCCGTTGTGTTCCAAAAAATCCAAAACAATAGGATATTAAGAATTTCTTTCCATAATTACCCCTATAAATTTTGTTAATTCTACAATGTAGTTCCGGTTGCGATTTGCGAAGTCTTCCGTCTTTACAGCCTTCCGTCTTCGACTACCTTACCAGGACAAAATTGGCAAATTCTGAAATTCAAACGCGTTTTTTTTTTTTTTTTTCTGAAGCTGGAGATTCCAAGGAAAAGAGAAAAAATCCGTACGCTTTCTCATATTCTCAAGTCTTGTTCATCTATTCATTTTCTAATCTGATTCTTGTTCTTCGTCGTCGACTGATCTATTTTCTATCAGGCTCCAATTAAAGGCCAGAAATTCCGTTAAGATTTTAATCTCTTTTTCTCTGCAATTTCTATCTTCCATTTGTTTGATTTATGTTTGCATGGAATCATGAAAACAATTCAAGAGTGCTCTTTTGTTTTTTAGAAATAGATCACAAGTCAGCATGCAATGTCCTTATTTTCATTCTTATTGTGGTGATTATTTTCTGTATATTTTCTGTAAGTTCTTGTTCATAATTCTGTTTGATTTATTAATTTTCTCGCCTCATTGATTGTCTTTTGTTTCGAAATGTAGTTTCGGACTGTGTTTTGGATTTTTGTTTTTTCGCTTTCTTTATCAATACGCTTTTGTGATATGAGTTGACTGTTGAATATATGAAAGGGGACGTGGAGTTGGCACTGGTCATTTAATGTGTGAATAGAGAATAAAACCATAAGTTCAGAAACAGCAAGAGCTTGAACTAGGAATCATGCTAATAAAACCACAAGTTCGTGGATTTTCAGTATTAGCATTTTCCCTGCGTTTATTAAAATGGGACAATTAATTACTGTGTGCAAATTTTGGCTAGCTGGATTCATAATATTGTCAGAGGATAGAACATTTAAGTTTTCTCATCCACGATTATTAACACATTCTACTTTTTCCAAAATTTCAGTTGCACATCTTGCTTTTGAACGAAACCTATTTGCAAGTACTTAAGAAACCTGAATTGTTCTTCAGAAGAGAAAAAAGTTTCTGAGGCTTTTCTATAGGTTAAGCCACAATATGGTTTAGAATTATTAATTGAGTTGGCATCTTCTAGTTCCTGCTTTGCTTCATGTTGCCAGTTGATGAAATGCCTGAGAAATATTTCATTCAATGATTATCAATCGAGTTATCTGTTGTCAGAGTTAATTTTCAACTTTCAAAACTTGGGCGGTCTTAGATGGTAGAAATCCACTGTTCAACTGCTTTGTTAACCGTATTACTGCAATTCAAGCGAATTTATTTATCCGCAAACTTAGAAATTGATTTGTTTTGAATATCTTTGGTTTTTGTTCAATTTTCTACATGTGAAACATCTCATGTGCAAGGGTTTGAGGAAATGCTTTCCTCTCATTAATGTGCCATCATCTTTTTCTTTACATCTTTCTATTTTTCACCATACCTTGGATCTTCAATACAATGCAAGTAATGAGGGGGTTTCCATGGTGTATTGTCAAACAAGGTTCAAAATATTGCTACACCCCAATACGCTGGAAGGAGTGTACCGATACTTTGAACCTCGTGCTTTTTTTGTATTTTTTTTTCAAAAATTTCAGAGGAGATGGAAATAATATTATTACTTAACATTTAAAATCAAGACTTTTTAAAAATGCCTTAAAAACATAAAAACAGCATATCAATGATCTGCTGATACGTTGTGATATTTTGATCCTTGTTGTTAAACACACAAACAGTGCTCCACAGAAACATATTAGTTATTTTGAACTTAGAAAATTGATTTCTGATGGCCTAGATATCATCTTAAGACCGAAGTGACTTGGTGCCTCCTGTTGCTTTGGCTTCACTTTAACCATCTATTTTTCAATTCCATCTGAGTTGTTTTGATGAACAGTTAGTAGTACTACTTCAGATGCACTTGGATCAATTTCTTCTGTTGAAGGCTTTGGAATCATTGACATAGGGTTCAACGTAGTTGCAGAAGAAAATTGTCTTGTGGACCCCTCATAGTTTTAGACATAAAAGATAGAAACTTTCTGTTTCCAACTATCAATTTTGCTGCCCTTTGAAATTAAGTTGACAAGTTGAGATTTTTTATCCCTATATCATTTTATTTGGAACACATACACTTTTTCATGCCACTCAGCTAGATAAGAAACTTTCAGTTTTCATGTGGAACAGAGAAATTAGGATCTAGTCAGAGTTTCAAATCCCTTGTTAACCCTTTTTTGGAAGCATTAAATTGGCAACTTGTCATCCTTTCTCTGTTGACCACATGCAGTATTAGCTGTCCATTTTTCTTCTTTACGTATTTAGTTACAATGCAGAGAACAGTCATACTATTTCTTGGTTGAGATGCTAGTAACTTGACCTCTTTAGTATCATATATACTCTTTTAAGGAAATGCATTTCCAGTTAAGTTGAACTCTTGAATCAAATTAAGTAATCCATGGTTAGTTAAGGATATCATTCTGGGATTAAGAAGCCTTATCCTGATATGCACCTGCCTACTAGGCTGATTTAATATTTTTCTTACTTTTTGTCAGTGACAGGTTTTCATTTACAAGTATATTAGTTTTTATTAAATTTTCTGCTCGAATTGGTTGATTATGTATTGGTAGTTATTGTTGAACACTTAAAATGTAATTGCAGCTGCTATACCATAAGGTGGTGCAAGAAAAATATTTTAGGAATGGAGGGTGACAAAGCACATCAACAGGAAGGGGAACCTGAACCATCCATGCCTTCACCCCAGGAGGAGGTAGTCTATATTATTTTGCCCTTACATACATGCACAACTTGCCAAAAACTTGTAGTATTTAGTTTTACAAGAAAAGGAATCTTATACTTACGTTTTTATATATTTATACATACTGTTATGTCTTAAAGTCTTGTATACTTATTTCCATTTGCTCAAGTTTAGATCCAACAATTCCTGAAGTATATGGTATCTCCTACCGTGCAGGAGGAAGCAATTAAGAAAAAGTATGGAGGAATTGTGCCCAAGAAGCCACCACTTATTTCTAAGGTAGCTAATCTTATTTTGGAAGTGCTTGACACTATGCATTTCACTATGACAGGTTGAGATGTTTGCTAATTTTTGTTTAATTCTCTGTATTTTTAATTCAGGACCATGAACGTGCTTATTTTGATTCAGCTGATTGGGCACTTGGAAAGGTGCTCTTGGCTTTGTTGGTCTTTATCTCTTCATGGCTAGTGCATTTATTTCAAGAGTGAAGCATTCATATCTAAATGTAATATCCTGTATTTGAGTAAAACCTAATATCCTTCAGAACTTTTGAACTGTAACAGCAAGGAGCTCCTGTAGAGAAGCCCAAAGGACCAGTTGAGGCACTTAGGCCTAAATTGCAGGTATTGGTCTCAGGTGGTATTTTATAACTAGTGAAATAGGTGCGAAGCTGAATAAAAATGGGCAGCCCAGTGCATGAGGCTCCTGCCAATGCGGGTCTGGGGAGGGACAGATGTATGCAACCTTACCCCTGCACGTACAGAGAGGCTGTTTCCAAGATTTGAACCCTGGTCACCAGGTGCTGAAAGCTGAATGCAGAAAAGATTTCCAAATTTAGATATGTCCAATTCAGCATTTCAGTAACTCAAAACCTACTTAATTGCTGAATGATGAAGCATCACCTTTGGGGTGATTACTTTACCCCTAAGAGTCTTATCATATACCAATAATACCCCTGGATTTAAATCATTCTTAAATTTGAAATCTTTTCCACATTATTCTTTCAGCACCTATATCAGCAGTTATTAAACAGCCCCTACATTTGTTCTCTTAAAGATGAGATGTTTTAGTTGCTTTTGGTTGTATTTTCTCACCCTCTTTCTCATTTCCATCTTCATTTTCTTTTATTTGTTTTATTGTCTTCTTTTTTATTTATAAATTCATTTCATTTTGATATCATGTAACTGTGTTAAAATTGTGTCTTAGATTCATTTCATTATTCTAATATTTAACTACTTGAATTTTAAATACTAAATGGTTGAACAAAAACTATTGGTTTGGGGCTTCTTTTTGAACCGTTAGAATTATGAAACTTGCTCTTTTAAGACCTTGGATAAAATAAGTTGGCTTGTTATTCTCAAAGGTCCAAAGGTTGCAACAAGGAGCTTTTAACCAAAGCTGTAAGGAAAAATATTTGGAAAATTGTTCTAATTGCTTAAGCTATTGTAAATTAAAAATTTGATTTGGATTTAATATGGGTTATGCCTCTGTTGACTAAACTTGTTTGAATTGCCAATGAAATCAGTCATTTGATTGAAATATAATTTATAAATCTTGAAGAAGAAATTCTCTCAGTGTTAGACAACTTGCTACATATTAGGCCAAGATGGTAAATGGTGATAGTAACCAAGGATCAAAATTTTGCAACATATCGGCCCGTATCATCCAATGCATATCGTATCGGTGACCCACTGATATGCTACTATAAGTAGGGGTCTCAATGGACCGGTTTTGGATTGGAAAACCAAATCAATTTGGATGGATTGGATGGACCAACAAGACATTGAATTGGACCAGTCCAGACTTAATGGTCCAAAGTATTTATTGGATTGGATTGGACCCGGTCCATCTGTAATGAATTTATATTGGTTTGGGGTGGGTTGAGCCAATATCTGGTCCATTGATAGAAGATAAGAATATATGTGTCAATAGACCAGGTTTGTTTTAGAATTAATCTAAATTAAAACAAATTTGAACAGATTGGACCAGTCCAAAATGGTCCAAAATATCCATTGGATTGGATTGGACCTGGTCCACTTGTAATGGACTCACATTGGACTGAATCAGTTTGGACCAAATCCAGTCCAATTGACACCCCTGACTATAAGCACTGTTTCAGGGTTTGACCTGTTTCAGTGGGTAGACAGGCCTTATATTGACCCCCCTGAACAGGGTTTGAAAGAAATAAAGTTTTCAACAATACAGACTGATACGCCCCATCCGGTGCATTGGTCTGTATCAATATTTAGAACCTTGATGGCAACATCACTGATAATAGGGCCTCTTATTGCTCTACAGTGAACAAGGAATATTGTTGTACAAGAAGATTAAAAATAGAAATGAAAATAGATACAAGATTAGAAAAATGTAAAACTGAATGCCTAAAATGTAATATGGCCTACTAGCTCAATTTGTTAAAGAATCATCCTTATGGAAGTTTCAGGTTTGGATCTGTGGAAGATCAGTTTTTTGGCCTACACACATGCATAGAACATAATACAAACAACCATTGTAATAATATAACCACAATATAATGACTTCCTTTGATATATGTTGGATTCTATGGACGGAAAGGTATAGATACTGATCTTGCCATCATTAGGAAGGGCTTCCATTTTGACAGAGTTCAGTGGTTGAATTTCTCTCTTATTTTCACAACTCACTTGAAATTATATTTTCCATTTTATATTATGATTTATGTACTTCTTGTAGGTGAGACATAGCAACCATTTCTTGAAACTTTTGTAGATGAGGTGCTGCACTTTCTTTTTGATTGTAATATAATTTATACATATTTATATTATAGAAAAAGTTTCTAATTGTCAAATAGAGAACTTCCCTACACAACCTAACCTATATTTGCCACATGGAGAGATGAGTGGCAAATCTGAACCATTCATCATGTAGGGGGCCCTCTATCTTGCTTAGGTGTCCTATCTTCCAATCCATACCATATGCCAAACCTTGTATTTATGGTTTCGCCAACAAATATCAACTGTTTGAGTTATAAATTTATATTTTTTTTTATGTAAGACTTGCTCAAAAAGAATGGCTAGCTATTGACATGTAGCTAGTGCCAAGTTGGAGATTGTTGAGTTGTTTAGAGAAGCTTAGGAACTTCCATATAGCAAATTGATTTGGGATTCAAAACAGCTCACTTTTTCCTGCTATCCTCTATTAATGGGGAAAACTTGAGCCCTAAATCCCTTGCTACATAGACCGATTAAACATCTCTTTAGGGAAAGTTTAACATTACAATATGGAACTTTCAGTGGCTAACACTCCTTGAAGAACCATTAATAAAAGGGCGGGTTTTATGGCTGATGTTGACTGGATGATTGCATAGGTGACAATCTAGAGGGTTCCCTACTTTCTCAAGAAACCATTCAACCTAAAAGCTCTAGCTATTAGGTGAGGTCCCTGAATAGGCTTTTATTCTCCAACACACCCTCTCATGCAAAAGCCCATTGGCCTTGAAGATTTCTATATTCTCTTACAAACCTCCTCACATGAAAGTCCATCGGACTTGAAGCGTGGACATGCATAGGCCCACCCATACCTTGTGCTTAAATTTAATTAATTATAATGGGGGCGATGAGGATCGAAGACTAGACCACTTGGTCAAACAGGCTCTGATACCATATCAAGAAACCGTTCGACCTAAAAGCTTAAGCTGTTAGTTGAGGTCCCTGAATAGGTTTTTATTCTCCAACACACCCCTCGCATGAAAGCCCATTGGGCTTGAAGAGATTTTTATTCTCTAACAGTGGACAGCTAGGATTGGCTTCATCATCCTTCTACATTGCAGAGAGGGCAGCCTGGCAGGTCATGTGGAGAAAAAAGTGAATCTTCCAAGATATCATAGACTGGCTTCTATATTTCCATTAGAAAAAAGGAAATTAAAAAGAAAGAAAGAAAAATACATAGGTTAGGATTAAAATAAGTAGTCTGTTTTTAACTAGTTCGGATTATCCAGTGGAACAAATGAGTTCTAGTTACAGAACCCTCTCAAGGATACAGGTCCTCACCAGCTTAGGCCCATGCTTCACAAGTAGGGTTGAGTAAGCTTTCCTTGAAACTGATTAGGTTTATTTACCATGTGATGTATTGTAATTTAGATCGACAGAGTTTGAAGTGCTTGCCCTTCTCAAAAACAAGATGTCATCCCTTTCTTTTATTTCATTTTTTTAGTTATATTTTAATGTGCACTTTAAATATGTTTGTCTTTTTGCACAAAGAGAAGGAAAGAAAAAGCTGAAATGTTAATTACATAGAATTTTTGTGCCGGTTCTAATGTCCCTTGCTGCTTGCTGCTTTCCTTTTGGTGTAGCCCACACAACAACAAACACGGTACCGGAAATCTCCATATGCTCCTGCAGATGGTGAAGGTGTGTTTAATGACTTAAATTGCTACTCAAGGCCTTGCCTTTTCCTTTTTCACGTCACTTTCTTTATGCATTTCATATTTAGAATAATCCCACTTTGTTGTTTCATTATAGATGGAAGTAACGCTTCTGAAGATGCAAGTGCCAATGACTGAGAGACTGCTGGTAGTCTTTTCATCTCAAGATATCAACTCTTATCCTTCTAATATCTAAAAAGGTGGCTAGTGTCAGCCCATTGCTCCCAGAAATAAAAGCAAAGAAAAGCTGTTGATGTACTTGCCAAAGTAAAGAACCATAACAATGTTTCCTATGACTAGACTCTTACTGCTGGAATTGCCAGCAAGCCAATGTCTTTTCTTAGAAATGGAATATTTATTTTTTCTTTATTTAGCAAAACTCTCGCATGGAACTTTTTAACATGTTAGTTGTACTGAAGCTTAAATTATTCCATGGTTGTTTTTGGAGTAAAGATATACAAAACTCTTCCAAAATTTGTTTCAGTTCTGGATGATAGATGGTTGGGACCAAGAAAAGATAACCACCAGATAAAGTTAGAGTTGCTTCATTTGAACAGTTAAAAGTTTCAAGGTAGACGTCAATAGTCAATAGATTGAAGTAAAGAAACCCATAACAAGTTCATAACATCTAAATGTAGATAGACATCAACCACACCGGTAAGGATGTTACATAATCGATAATCCACCCAAGACCCAAGTTACAAAACCATCCAAACTCTGACCTATGAAACCTCCACCAACTAAATCTAGACCTAGTATTTATTGGGTTTGCTGTTTAGAACAAACAAAGCAAACCAACTTCCCAAAACACCTTCAAAACCCGAAGCTGATAAACTAACAGAACATCACCAGAATACATAAATATAACCTTCATTCTTCTTCATGAGCTGTTTCAGTAATGGATGCTCTTGAACTTCTCCTCCTTGGTGTACTTACCAGAGTAGCCCTTAGAGTCGTTACCAAACTTGCAGGTGCTGCTCACCTTCACCTCTTCCTTGTAGCCAACTTGCCCAGTAGACCTGTCCACGTATTCTCCCCTCGAGACGGTCTCCTTAGTTGTAACATGGCGGTAGTATCCGGTTTGCTTGTTCTCATAGCTAGACTTGTGGGTCCTCTCCGCCGATTGCTCTGCCGGGGTTTTTATCATGATCACTCCGCAATATGCTGGTTCATCCATTTGTAAGCTAAGGAGATGAGAAGCAAACGACTTAAACCTACACACAGACTCTTTAGAGAAAGGAAAGAGGAAGGTGGAGACTGGAGAGTTTGAACAATGAAGGGGTGGAACCAAACACTGAAATGTAGCGAAGGCCAAAGGTGGGTCATCTCCATTTTATAGGCCAGTGAAAGAGAAGTTGTTTCACGGATCAAGATTATTTACCCACCCACGTAGTACTCAGTTTGCCAAATATGGACTATTGGCAGTTGAGTAGTGAACTAGTGATGATCTACTATTAGAACTTAGAAGTACTTCGTCCGGGCTTAAGAGGATAAAGATCGCTTAACAAATTTTTTTGCTTCTGCACTAAGCTACTGGTTTCGTGTTTCAGTAACAGGCATTATACCAGCTAGAATCATAGAGCCATGCCTCAGAGACAGGCATGATGATGAGGTGAGCAGTGACTACCAAGGTTGCAGTGGTAACTGGTAAGGGGTTCGTCACGAACTAGATTAAAGATCTTTCTTATGCCGTTGATCAGGAATTTTGCGTAGCACCCACCTATATTCATGGATTGAAATAAACCAATAGAAATAATACTAATACATTACTCGGGAATGTACGAGAAAACAAATTTATAGGCTTGATATTGCTAGGGCCTAGGGGAAGTTCCATCTAGTTATTGACTATTTTAGGATTTTTTTTGTAGCTGATCGTTGATCAGTTGATCTTGTTTTGAATGAATGAATTTTGCCTTGGATTAAAAAAAAAAAAAAAAAATCCTCAATTGCTATCATCTTTCAAACTTACTTTGGCTGAATAATCACTTATTGGACTTCTCTGGTTTTCTCAAGAGATGATGGTTCAAAGCTTCATTCAGCTTCTACGTAGCCCAACAAATTGGCCGAAGCTCGTGATTCCCTGTGAGCTTCATGTAATCATGCTCCTACACTCCAAACTCAGATCATTTCTGGTACCCAGAACTGATGAGTGATGACCACCCAGGGACCCAAACCCAAATAAACACGGCCAATTTGAATAGTATTACTGAAACAGAGTGTGAAGTAAACCCGTGATTCTTAATTCTAATGGAAATGGATGTCCATTTTGGTTAACCTGTGGAAGTTCACTGTCACTGACTCACTCTTCAGTTGTCTATTATCTTAAACAAGAACTATAGAAGATGTCTTTTTCTATTTACCCTTGCATTCCTCTGGATCCGAGTGTAACAAGGGAACTGGGGAAGCCATTGCCCGTTTCTGTTGAATTTTTAGTCTCCATTCAACAAAAAACAACCCAAAAAAGAAGGTCAACAGGCATTACAGAGAGAGAGATTGATTGATTGATTGATCCTTCACGGGAGTAGTTTACGTGTATATGAATGAAAGAGACAAGCGATTATTGATCCCTTCTTTTGCCATGAATAGAATGGGTGGGGGTCCCCTCTCTGAATCTTCTTCCAATACTTGCTCATGGATCAATTTTGCAGGGAATCCCGTCGCTATTATACCAGAGATAGTGAATTTGTGACTCGATCGATTATTGATAGGGAATCATGTCACATGGCTAGTAGCAGAAGTCACGTACTATTATCTGTCATGCCTCCTCATCCCAGGGATCTGAAATGATGAACATTAGTTCGGCGACTGATACCCATCTCCATGGCAAAATGTAGTTTGCACATTGCACCGGGGAGATGTTCCCAATGTACAACTGCGATGGCTGGTTGAGATGCTGAGTTGGTAGCTGATCAGAAACTCCATCTGAACTCGCATGTTCAAATTTGGACAGGGCCGAAGAGGAGGCAAGGTTCAAAGTGTGTATCGGTCTTTCCATTTTTTAAGAAATAGGGTGAGAACTGAGAGGACTTCAATTGGCGTTCCCACAATTCTAACTAAACTGGAAAAAAAATATATCTGTTCTCTAAGGTTTTTAAAACTGGACCGGACAAGAAATCGCTATGGGACCAGTTCCAGGGTTGAATGGTCTGACTGTTCGGTCTAAATAGATCGCCCATTCTGACAAAAAATAAAAAATAAAAAAACGGTCAAAAACTGTTTGTCTAGGTCAACGGGTTAACAGTTCGACCACCTGGGTCAACAATTCACTGACCAAATCAACGGTTTTTGGCCAAAAAACGATTTTGGGGTGAAATGAATGACAGATTCCCTGCTTTTCACCTGCTTTTATAAACGCTAGTCTCTATCTTATGATTATTAGATCATACCTTTTAACCAGTATTCATGTTCCTCCTATTATAATTTGCTCCAATTTTTCCAATCAAATATGATGTTTTCTTAACATAATCCTTACCCTCCAAATAGTAGCTAGTGGACTACCAACTTAGTTGACAAGTTCTCAAGTTCGTTGTAACGAAGACTTGGGATCTAATCCCATTGTAATTAGGGTTGAGAATTTATAGGCACATTGGATCTGATGCAAATACAAGTGTACAAACTTGGCTATGTGACCAATCATGGGTGAAGACGCCACTGTTCCTTGTATGGGGGATGGGCTATTCCCCTCTCCTCACCCCATGAAGCAATCAAGGTTCAAAATATCGATACGCTGGTATGGGCATATCGGGCGAATCGATACAGCTTTTGGTACTTTTTTTTTTAATTTTTTTTTCGCAACTGATTCAAGAGAACCGGTTTAGGCCTCCTCCACACCCTGAATCGGTCAGACCTTGATACACCCACTGTAGGGGCATATCAGAGGGGTCCCAAAAAGATACATATCGGCTGATACGGGCTACGTGTCAATACTTTAAACCTTGGAAACAATAAATAGCAGACTAGTAGCTATTGAATTTAGAACATAGACTTGGGATCAAATTCCATTGCAATAAAGGTTGAGAAAGTACAGGCACATGGAATGATGGGATCTGATGTAAACAAGTGTACAAACCTGACTATGAGTGAAAGCGTCGGTGTTTTATGCATGGGAGACCAGATGATCTGCTCCTCACACGCACATCCTATCGGAAACATCTCCCATAGAAAACAGTACATGGTGGATATGCCTGTGAGGCGCCCATTTGTGAGGAGCAGATATTGTCACCATGCATGGGGGATAGGCTATCCCCCATCCCCACCCTATGAAGCAAAAAGTAATAGACTAGTAGCTAAGGGGTTTAAAACACCAATAGAGAATAGTGCACAATTCTTTGTGAACAGCAGCTAATATTTATATGCTTATCTTTTAATTAGTAGTTACTAGTCAGTTCAACAAGACAAGCCACAGCCCGCTGAACACCTAAAGTGTTGAGCTAATCCGAATTCTCCAGTCAGTACTCATCAAAATTCAAACATTAGCGGACGCTCCACATCATTCCCTCTCTTTAAATTAAGTTTCAATCCCTTCCACACCCCACTACAAGAAATTAAATTCGGGTACAAATCAGTGATCATTCTGGTTCCTAGTTTTGTGGGTGATCTTATAACAATTTTGCCACTATGTAACAAGTGTTTTCTTCGCCGCACCATCAAGTGCCAACCAACGTGCCTACAACCGCCACTCCAGTGTCCAAATGTGTCATGGGTGGGTTATGCATGTACTTTTGTATGGGGGGATTGCCAATGGCATTATTGTAATACTGTAGTATGATTTCCCACATTTTTTATGTTTCTTATTGTCACTCCCCCAAAAGCTTAACGTACTCTTGGAGGGGAGGTAGGTAGTCGAGTGAGCTCATAAGCGTGTAAAGGTTAAGCACGAGATCCCCTCGACACTGTACTGTGTGCTTGTGCTTGCCACAGATTATTGCAATACAAATAGCCTTTTGCTAATTCGTGTTCCACCTTGTTGTCTTTTTGTGTGTGTTTGCTTTGTTGCATAGGCTTACTCGCCCATTTCGAGTGTCGCACGGAGCCCCAACGATTATCCCCGTGACAGTTGGTATCAAAGCAGGAGCTCCTTTTAAGCCATTCGACCCGCGACGTGAGTGACAGCATGAAGCACAACAGGGACATCGTGGAGGAGATCGAGCATGCTCCACAGCCCATGAGGCCGATGATGCGCCCGCCGATGACATCGGCAAGGACAAGGAACCGAAGCCCAGCAAACGTGAGAAATCTTCCAACAAGCATGCAGTCGTTGAGTTGCGCATGCTACGTTGCGAAGCCACCATAGGTGAGATGCGAGACTCGATAGACGAGCTGCATCAAAACATGGAAGCCATGGACAACACATTGGTTGAGATTGAAGGTCGCTTGAGTGGAGTCGTGGACGAGGTCCGAGACATAATCAATGGCACGCTCAAACAAATTTGCAGCACTGCGCACCAACAAGAAGCAAGCTCCTCCAACTCGCAGGTCCAAGACAGGCTTGATAGTTTTCAACCCTAGCTCGATGAGATGAAGAACGAGTGGGCAACGTGGAGAAGAAGCACCTCCACATCAATGGTCGTCCAGGCCCAACTAGATGAAATGAGAGCGGAGTGGGCTTCAATGAAGTCCGCCGCATGTGCCTCCTCCGACACCCAAGCTCAATTAGAGGAGCTCAAAGCAGAATGTGCAATCCTGAAGAGGGTCGTCGCTAATCCAACCAGCACTTCCTTTACACATACTCCCTCCCACATCAAGATTAGGGAGCCAACCCCCTATTCGGGTACCCGCAATGCATGAGAGCTCGACAACTTCCTGTGGCAAATGGAACAGTACCTTGCCGCCACCAATGTGACTGATGAAATGACTCAGGTACGTACTGCTACTATGTATTTGACTGATGTCGYTATGTTGTRGTGGCGCAGAAGGTGTGTTGATATAGAACGTGGTACGTGTGTTATCCGTACCTGGGCTGACTTTAAAAGAGAGCTGAAGAGACAGTTCTACCCAGAGAACGTGGAA